GGGATTTGGAGTGGGGGGAGAGCCCTACTCCAGCCTTTCAGACACCTCCTCGAGCCAAGCCGGTGGCTGGAGCATCCCTGCCAGTTCGGTCTCTGGAGCTGGAGCCATCCCCATCCCTGCCGGGGGATTGGGAAGGCAGGTGACTCTCCTCCTCCGGTGCTGGAGATAAGCTGTCATATTTTTTTTAATTTCTACAGGAGGATTTCTACCCACCCGTCAGGCAGCAATGGGTTTAACCATTGTCTCTCAGGCCTTTGCATGAAATAGTCCTTGCCACAACACAGGCGTGAGTGCAGAGATATGGAGGCAGAAGGGGTTAAGCGCCCACCGCCACTGAGATTTAGCTGGAGAAACCCAGCCGGAGAAACCCAGGCATCCCGGCTTAATCCTTACATCACATTCCTGCCTGCCCGGTGCGGCGTGGCCGTGGGTGATGGGCACCAGGCTTCCCTGCCACTAATGCTCCTGTAATCTTCCAAATATTTGGAGGGATAACAATTGCAGGAGAGAGGATTTTAACGCTTTCCTGTGGAGGTTTGCTCGGCCATTGCTGCAAGGGGAATTGCTTTCTGGGCTTGTCATCCCTTGTGCCTTGTGTTTTGGGGTGATGGAGGGTTGTTAATGCTTGACCCTGGCTCCAGTGTTGCTCTGGGTGCAAACTGGTGGCGCTGGTTGGTTGGGGCCATCGATCTTCAACCAAGTTGCAAACACTAGCTGCAAACATCTGCAAGTCACCCCCCGGGGAACAGATGCTGCGGATAATCCAGCTCAACCCCAGCAGATTAAAATGTGTGATGAAGGATGGGGGAGAGGAGGCTGGAGAGGAAAGAAGTCAGTGCCTATTCCTCTCCTCCCTTTTCTGCCTCTCTGCTCCTACCGCACTCATCTTCAGGGCTTCAGGGTTTAGTCGTGTGCGTCAAGCCCAGAGCTGCCCCTTCCTTGCCTCTCCTCCCAAATACAGATACAGTGCTGAAGTCAGTGCTCCAGCCTGTCCTGTAGCACAGCGTGCTGCAGCACCCTGTGGGTGACCATGTGCAGCACGTCTGTGGGATGGCAACAGCCCGGGACTTCCAAAACAAACAAAAAGAAAAGCCCAAAAGGGAGCTGGGAAGCAGGCACCCACCTCCAGTGGGAAGGAGGGAAGCCGGCAGATGGGAACCCCCTCTAGACGTCTGCCAGGGAGATGATGATTGCAGTCGCTGTAGTGCACTCTCAAATATTTATTAGTTTGTCGCTGCTGGGAGTTTTATTGCTTGTCTGATTGCAGTACTGGAAATCCTGACTGTGCAGGGCTCCTTCCCTGGCTTCGCATGCTAAAGTGTCTCTCTTGTACGTGTTGCTCCTGTGGTCAGTGGGCCAAATTGTCACCTCAGGTGGGATCAGAGCAGTGTTGGCCAAAGCAGAAGTGGCCTCTGTGCACATGTGGGTTAAAGCATCCATTCCCGAGGGTGATGCTTATGGCCAGCTCCTTACAACACCCCTGAGAAACCTCCTGCTGGTGAGGTCTTCACGATACTGAAAGCATCTGAACACCCCAGTGCATACCCCTGCCCGAGACTGGTTGCCTAGCCTGGAAAAGCCAGAGACTCACTTCTGTCAAGGTTTCTTATACATATAATGCAACTATAACATAATGTTATGCAAGGCCATTGCAGGGGAAGGTTGTCCCAGCAGAGGATACCCTCTCCTGCATTTATGGGGCCATTTATTAATGTCCTTATTACACTGGAGCAAAACAAAACCTTTCTCCCACGTCTCCACCCTCTGCTCTTTTAACACTGGCACCTTGTCCTCACTTGCTGGAGCTATTTGCCTCCCTCTCCTATGGAGGAAGGACCACATGGTGTTGCACCACTGGGAAGGTGCTTTTTTTTTTTTTTTTGTTTGTTTGTGTGTGTGTGTTTTGCAGTTGCTGCTGGATAGTCAGGGCAGCTGGGAGCAGCAATTGTTCCTTCACATGGTGCAAGCGGGCATGTTTTCCCCTCCACTGACTGTACGTTGGTTTTGGGGGGGGCCCACCCATGAGCATTAGCAGAGCGAGAGGTTTCCCATGCAGCGGGTGGCCGGGCGTCGGGAGTGGGGATGAAAGGCTGGGTTGATGGCTTATGATAAATGTGCCCAGCATGGTTCTCCTCCCTTTTCTCATCCAAAGTCCCCGTTGTTCCTCTGCCTTAATTCTTCCCCAGTGTGTTTAAATACCAGCAGCCATATCGTGCTGGAGCCAAATGCCCTGCCCAGCTGCAAATGCTTTTTGTCGGCTGTGTATAGTTTCTGGATGGAGAAATCAGCCTTCCCCTTGCCTTGCTCCTCCTCTTCATGAGCAGGCAGGAACCTGGAGGAGCTGTGGGGCTGGGGCTCTGCAGCACAGCCATGAGTCTGCCATGAAAAAACCCAGCATCGTTTTCCCTGTCTCCTGTTAGAGTTGCTTTTTTGGCCCCAGATCTCTCTTGGCCAGAAGCAAAAGATCTCTCAGCTGTTGCAAGTTTGCAGGATTTAAACTTTTCCAGCAGCCAGGATGCTCCTAGCTTTAAAGATTCAGGTTTTGGGGTTCAAACCTTAAACCAAGCAGGTTTTTATAGCCACCAAAAGCAGATGCTGGCTCTGGCCAGGGCCAGGGAGATCATCCTATTCCGTCACCCTCATCCTCAAAATCTAAAGCATCGAGCTTGAGACCAGCACAGATTTGGGCAGATCCCCTCTTGAGGCTGGGGGCCAGATGGGACCTGTCGATGGGGGGATCAGCAGATTTTTGGCACTACTGACAGTGTTTCAGCCCCAAACCCTGTGCTGGGGGACGGAGGTGGCTCCTACCACAGCCCGGAGCATCACCCATCCCACTGCAGATGATCACAGCTGAGTCACAAATCTGCAATTTTCAAACCAGTGGCGCCATGACTCATCCCCGCCCCACTCCCAGATCCTCTCGGGTGACCAAAAGTTTCATTTAGCATCACCAAAGTGACAGTGGGGTGGGAGAAAATGTGTCTTTGGTGTTGGTTGGTGTTGAAGGTCTCTCCTTGCCTGCAGTTTTGGGTCGGGGGACATGTGTGCTTCAGGGTGTCACCTCCATCGGGGAAAATATCCTTCTAGAAGTCCGAAAATTGGCTTCTTCAGGGACATTGGGTCTTTGTGGGTCACCCTTATGGTGCTGGGCAGGCTGCAGGACTCCTCGCCTGCATCCTGGGGTATTATACCTGGCTTGGGGAGAAAAATAAAAAAATAGGAAGAAAGAAAATTAAAAAGCAGCTGGCACAGACATGGAAAAATGACTTAATGGGGAGCTTCAGGCTCATGTAATGGCCAAGGACAGTATATCTTGGAGTAGTTCTCACCTCTACCGCTGCCCTTGGTGGCACCTGGGGGAGCCTGGTGCTGGCCTGGGGCAGGGCTTGTGGCAGGGCCGGGGGAGTGGGGGGCTCCCCTTTGCCAAGCCTCCTTGAGAGACCATTGAGCTTCAAGCGTTTACATTCCTTACAGCAAGCCTGCTTTCTAAACCCACCTGCCCTTGGAGTTGTAAGACAAAGCCCAGGAGCCACCCCTGTCCCAGGGATGGATGGCAAGCAAGGGTGTCGTGTGGTGTGCCCACCCCGTCAGGCATTGCTTCAGCAGAATTTGGAGGATGCTCTGCAGCGGGTGCTACCTGCGCCCTTTCCCGGACACCAAGCTCGGATCCGACTCTGCAGGCTGTGTGCTGCAGGGATGCAGAGAGCGTCATTTCAGAAAGGTTTTTGCATGAGCCCATGAGTGAAGTTTTGTTGGCTGCCTCCCTTGCCAGTTGGATTATCTCCTGCCAGCCCCCTTTGGCAGGGGATTTAGGTTTGTGGCATCGAAGCAATTTCAAATAAAAAAAAAAACAAAACCCAAAACCCAATAAAACAACAACTCAGTGGATGCAAAATTGAATAGTAAATTAAAAAAGAAAAAAAAAAGTTTCATTTGCTGCTGTGATACAGGTAAGAGGCTGCTCAGCAGGAGAGGGGAGCAGGACTAGTGACCTGATGTGGGCACTGGGAGCAGTGTGGGGCAGTTGGTGGTGGGGAGTTCACTCCTCTTCATGCCCCATCCCCAGCCCTGCTGCCCACGGTGAGGCACTGGGAAAATTACAGGTCTGCAAATGAGATGGGGGAGGAAACGGCTGCCAGTGGAGAGGTGGGGAAGAGCCAGCCAGAGAGAGAGAAATTAGCCCGGAGTTTAATTCATTGTTTCCAAAAGAGCAGTTAATGGATTATGACAAATGTCCTACTGCTCTCCCTTAGTGCTGTGTTAAATGGAAATGGAAAGTCAATTTTCCTAAATGGATTTTAAACGACTGACCTCGTGTGTTTTTTTTCCCTCACTGATTTTTGCTTGGGAGGCAGCTTGGTCATCTTGTTTTCTTGACGCATCTGATTATTTTTTTTCTTCTCCTTCTTACATCTCAGGAGTCTCATATTCTCTCCGTGCAGCACTGCTCCTTGCCAAGGGTGACGAAGGGAGTGGGCTTCTTTCTTCCTTGCCAGTTCTGGAGATGTTATCGCGGGGCTGGGGATATTTACTGTTTTCCTGCATGCTGCAGTGACTGGAGTTGAGAATCACAGCTCTCACTGGGGGAAGAGAGGAGGAGGAAAGGCTCATAACTCTTTTAGGTGTAAAGAAAAGCCTTGTGATGGTGACCCGACTGCTAGTGAGATGCCCAGAAACAACAGGTTAAGCACTAGCATCCCAGTGCGTGTGTGTATTTTATCAGTCCTGCAATATTTGTATTTGATCTTTGTGGGTGAAATGGCTGGAAGTAGGTTTCCTGTGTTGGACGCTGCAGGTGTTCCTTGACACTGGCCACAGCATCTTCTCAAGCTGGTGCTGGGCATGAGCCACTATGGAGCTCCTGCTCCTCAGGGATTATGTCCCTGGGTGATCCCTGAGGTGCTTGCCCCTTTTCAAGACTTTTCTTGACCTGGCCTGACCTCCTCTTCTGGTTATTTTTGCATTTAGATTGTTTTTGAGAGCAAACAAGCAAGAAGATGGAGATCACCAGGGCACTGATCCGATTTGCTTTCTGGGGTGGGATAGTGTGAGTTCTGATTGCATTTTTGGGTGATGTTCTCTGGAGGTGGCTTGGGCTGGAAGCTATTGCTCGCTTGTGATGGGCAGATAGGCAGTCCACGGGGACTGCCAGTGCCCCCCAGACCTTGTGTGATGGTGAGATCCCCACGTGCGAGCGTGAGAGCTGGCAAGAGTGTGCAATCCCCAACGTAGCTCCACCTCAGTGTGGTATGTGTGAGATTTGTGTGGGGTCGTGGTCAGTGTTCCCAGCACAAGCCCTGCTGGCATTTTGCTCTGAGCATGCCTGTGCATTCCTCAGGACTGTGAGAGGGAGACTTGGGATGGGGAATACCAGCCCCTCTGGATCATCTCCCGTTGTCCCCATCACTATTTCTGGACTTGAGTTTGTTTAGGTTTTTCCCTCATAGTGTCCTCTAGCGAGATCACCCTAGGCTTTGGGGTTGGCCAGGGCTCAGGGTATGGATAGGCAGGCTGGTACCCAGGCAAAAACAGGATGCACCCCGCAGCAGCAACTCTCTAGCTAGCAGAGATTGCTTTTCTTATTTTGGGGAGCCTCCGGCCCTCTTTTTCTTTTCTGAGCTTCCTTAGCAAGGGCTGCTGGTGACACCAGCACCACACACAGGGCAGTCCTGGGAAGGAGAGGGAGGGATGAAGTGGCATAGGTAGGAGTTGCGTCCCTCCGGGGACAGGACTAAGGGCACCTCCCGACCCTCTCGCTCCCCTGCAGGGCTGGAGTACAGCGACGTGCTGCCCGACTCCTTCCCCTCGGCCCCGGCGGAGACCCTCCCTCACTTTCTGCTGGAGCCGCAGGACGCCTACATCGTGAAGAACAAGCCGGTGGAACTCGTGTGCCGTGCCAACCCTGCCACCCAGATCTACTTCAAGTGCAACGGGGAGTGGGTCAACCAGAACGACCATGTCACCAAGGAGAGCTTGGATGAGGTCACCGGTGAGCAAACCCACCCTGGCATTCCCCCTGCCTTCCCTTCCTTCCTTCCTTCCTCTCTCTTCTTTCCAGGTGCTTCTGCCCTTTTCTCTCTTGCACATCCACGCTCAAGATGATTCTCCTCCAGGTAGACCAAGAGGTTCTTTGATTCATTTTTACTATTCTCAGGTGATTCCAATCTCATGGGGTTACTTTTGTATGTTTTCCACCTCCTTGGTCTTGTCTCTCTTTCCATACCATCAGTGAATTTTAGAGGAGCTGCCCCTTTCCAGACTGTTGATAAAGACATGATGATGGTACGGGTCACTGTACCCCGTAGGAGCTTGAGGCAGTCAGCCTGCATGCTTGCCTGCTTACCCTTTTGCAGGACTTGGGGTTGTTAAATGGGATTTGAAAGGCAGCACGTTTAAAACTGATGAAAAAAAGGAAACACTTTCCTACAAATGCCTAATCAACGCGTAGGAGTCATTGTCACGAGGGGTGGCAAAGGCTGGCAGCTTACTCAGGTTCGCAAAGGGGTTAGATGTTTAATGGGTAATGAGAACATTTGCAGGTAGGATTTGAAATGCCTTTTAATAGCAGATGAGCTCTCCCCTGCCTCAGAGAACAAGTCAGCCGCTGGCTGCCTGAAATGAGAGGGTGAGAAGGTGGTTTAAGCATTTTAGGGGGTGTCTTATTCCATGGGATTGAGCTCCGCAGAGCTGCTTGCCCTGTGCTTTGAAACGTCCTGGCATGAGAACACGGTGTGGGGGTTGGATATATCATGTAATCAAGTAAATTTGCTAAAATTGGTACGCTTTAACTCAGCTCCCACCTTTTCTGCACCAGTTTTGATACCTGTGCCCTGATCGGGAGAGGAGGAAAACAGTCGTGTTTCCTATGTAAGATCTGTTCTCTGCAAATCCCTGAGCCTGCAGCACCCCTCATCTCCAGAGGGCTTTAAACCAAGGCGGCCTTTTGAACTGCTGCAGCATTGGTCCCAGAAGGCAGGCTGGGCTTAGAGGAGAGACTTCATTAGCCTGGAGGAGCACAAGTGCTTTTATAGAATCTCCTCTTGTCCCGTTTTTCCCCAGCCTTGCCCTTCCCCAGCATCTCCCCGGCTCTTCATCCAGTGCTAGCTGTTAGCCAGTCCTCATTTGGGTATGTCTCTGAACCTGCTCTGCAAAGGGAAGATCAATTATTTTCTCTGTGGCTTTTTGAGCCTTTCCTAAAGCTGCTTTGATCTGTTCCCAGGGTGTTTTTCTTCCAGAGGATCTCTTTCTAAAGAATGGCCAAAAAAGCACAAGAAGGCTGTTCCCTCACTTCTCCGGAGGCCGTCAGGAGCACTGGCAGCACCATTTCTCTCTTCTGGGGTGCATCTCTACCTCCCAGCTCTCGTGGAGGCCAGATTTGAAACCCTCACCACTCTAGGATGAAGTCAGGGCCAATTGGTGACCAAGCAGCCTTCACCGAGGGGTTATTAATTTGTTTTTAACATGTGGCCATGTAGAGTCAAGCCAAAGGTTCACGTGCCCTGTGTGTGACAGTGGTGGATGCTTTAGTGGAGGAGCATTGAACCAGGACAAGGATGGAGCCGTTGACCCCGCTCTGTTACCCTCCCAGCTTCCTGCAGTCTGTGATTAGGTGCTCCCTGGTCCAGCGGTGATGTCTTAGCAGTGTGGTTCAGCCCCAGATGGATTTCACTTCTGTTAATTTGCCTAAATGCTGTTAGGACTCATTTTTCCTCCGGATTGTCCCGGTGTCCTGTATCAGTTCATGGCTTAGTAACGTGGAGTGTAGAAAAAGCACTACGTTTCTGGCCCCACCACTCACTCCACCTCTTGGATGAGTACCCCTTACTGAATAACCTGCCTCATGCAACGCTTGAGCAAAACAGGCTGGAGAAAACATAGCAGAAAGGGAGCAGAAAGTCTGTGCAGCAGGAGCTTTCCCTGTTTCAGAGGACACTCATTTGCTTTGGGCCAGCACCTCCCTCTCAGATCCCAGTCTGCAGATGCAGAACGTGTGCCAGCAATCTGGGGAGGAAGCAGTGCACACCTTCTTCACTCAGGCTTCAAAGATGGTATTGCTGCTATCAGTGAACAAACCGACAATACCTTCAGTGTGGAGGTGATGCTGTGCATGTAAAACTCCGCCGGCGTGGGCATATCTGCCCAGCAGCTACCCTAAGAAAAAAGGAGCTGGAATCAAAATGGTTTACTGTGCTAGAAAAAAAATCTGCATTTGCAGCACCTGCCATTCGTAGGAAAAGCTGCTGCAAAGGGTACGGAGGAGAGGCTGGCCACAAAGCAATGGGTTAACATGTTTAGGTGTTCATGGCTTTTTAAGTGTCCTAGGTTAAAAGCTTGGAATAACGGACCTTTAAAAAAAAAAAAAAAAAGGCAACTTTTAAGGTGACGTGTCTTGAATGAGCTGGGCTCAGTAATGCTCTGACTGTGTCTGATCCAAAACATTTCATGCGGAAGAAAGCAAAAATAGGCCAAGTCAGAGAGGATAATTCATCTGGACGAGAAGGGACTGTTGGTAAGAGCGGCTGTGTTTGGATGCGTGTAAGCCCTTTAAATAGTCGCTCCTGTGAGCCATAAGCTCCGTCTACAGTTTGCAGTAGTCTTTGCTTTCAGGGGTTACAGAGATAGCAGGGCAATTGCAGGTTGCTCCCCACCTTTCCATGACTGCTCAACCCACCCCACCGGGGCTTTCCAGGGAGATGAGATGGTTTTGAGCCAGCTCCGTCCTGGATCCTTCTAAAAGCCATAATTTTTTCCAAAAGTGCTTGGCCCAAACGCCTTTTATTTTGGTTTTTGTTTTGTTTTGTTTTTTCCCTTAATAGTGGCAAAATTAATTGTATTTCCTTGGTGTATGTTTGTCATCTCTTCTATGGGAAAGTAGCAGAGAGACAGTAATTACTCCTCGCAACAGTGGGCACGAGCTAGCAAAATTACAGCTGGGCAGCATGCAGTACTCTATTGCCATGAACTTGAGGCCTTTTTATAAACAGAATCTGAAAGAAAAGGGCAGGTATTGCTGTATCAAGGAGTTGATGCTTCAGGAGAGACTCAGCATCCTGCAGTCCAGGGGACCATGTCTGGGACGTGGTGGTGGTGTCACCTTTGTCACTGCACCCCTGTCACAGCCAGAGTGTCCTGGTAGACTTCACGGGGGTGTTGGAGGGTTGATGGAGGCATGTAACCCTTTCTGAGGTCATTGGGCATGAAATGCCATCATCCTTGGATGATTTCCTTAATATCTTTTATTTGTCTTGTTATATTTGTATTTAAACAGCATCTGACACAGATAGTTTCTTCCCACAGCAAAGCCTTGGAGGCATCCGTCAAAGCCAGTGGGTCTGGGCAGGGATGGGGACGTTGGTGCTGGGTTAGAGGACTGTTGGAGGCGGGTGATGCCTCTTGAAATGTTCAAGAGGTCCAGGTCCTGCCCAGCCAGACCAGAGTGGGGGGGAAAAAGGCGGAAAAATCTTCTCCACATGAGCCATTGCCCTGGCTTCAGCTCCAGGTCCCTCTCCAGAGGGAACAGTCTCCCCGATTTGCAGAGGTGTGAAACTCAGATGCCTCTGAGCTGCCTCTAACCCGCTGCCTCCGTCCTTGAGCTTGGTGCACCCAGCAGCCCTCCTCTTGGGTGCTGCCTCAGTTTCCCTCCTCCCGGGTGCTCCTGCCGAGCTGATGCCATCCCTCTGTCCCCTTCCAGGGATGCTGGTGCGGGAGGTGCAGATCGAGGTCTCCCGGCAGCAGGTGGAGGAGCTCTTCGGTTTAGAAGATTACTGGTGCCAGTGTGTGGCCTGGAGCTCCGCGGGCACCACGAAGAGCCGCCGGGCGTACGTCCGCATAGCGTGTAAGTGCCCGGTACGCGGAGTGATTGCTCGGATGTGACCCCTCTGGCGATGCTCCCTGCCCCTCTGTGAGAGCTGCCTGCACCCACCTACACCACATCAGTCCTTGTTTCATTTTAATGAATGCTTCTTCCACCTTCTATTCCACTTTGGGGGCCCCAGAAGATTTCCAGAGGGTACAACCCACCGACTTCTAAATGGTTTGCAAAGCCTGAGGTGTGACCGTGGATCCCAGGCTGAAAAAGCAGCGATTTCAAGCCAGGCGAGTGCTGCTTCTGGCACCAACATCAGCTGAAATAACGGCTAAGGCTGTTCATCCTCGGCTTCCTGGGACCCCCAGGACATGTTGGGTGCAGCTGAATGGGGTTGGCAGTCTCCAGAAGTTGTGTCCCTGTTGAAAGCAGTGCTTTTTAATCAGTTGTAGATGATCCATCCTTGCTGGATGGCCCTTGATCTTAGATCCCCATCCTGGCTCCAGCTTTGCTTCTGAGCAGGTATCGTCCCTACCTGCCTGGGTGAGAGGCTGTGGCATCACCTGGGTTAATACCGCATTGCCCATCAGCGTGCTCAGCTCTTCCCAGTGCTTTATTATCATTAATAACCCAGCGGTTAGCACCTCGCACACTTTGCCTGAATCAGCGAGTCTGTGTCCCTGGAGTCCCTGCTGTCATATGTCACTTCTCTAAGCTGCTGTTTGTGGGTGTCAGCCTGATTAAGGATGAGTTAATCAGGCTGTTACCCAGCTGAATTTGCTCTCTTAGCAAATGAGATCGCAAAGCTATAGGAGAATGGCCAGGCTTCCCCAGTCATAAACAGATTCTGCTATTAGAGGGCTAATAATCCAACACGATATCCAAAACAGAGGTGGATGGTGAATCAGCTACACTGATGAAGGATTTAGTCTGAACAGGAAAAATGTTGAGACACAGAGCTGGCTACTGAGGGAGCTCTTTTGTCCGGCCCCAGCCAAGGGTTTGGTGTTTCTTGGAGCCAAGCAGATGAGATGAACTAAACCGAGGGTTTGCTGCTGCCCTGTACAAGTAGGAGCCGCAGCCATAGAGGGCTGGGTGCTGTAGCAGAGGATTGCAGCACCATCTAGTGATGCTGCTGCTCCTTTCAAGCTTCTCACTGGTACCTTGCCATGTCCCCCACGTCCCCAGGGGCTCTGCTGGGCATCTCCCTTCTCCCCCTTCCCCAAAATACTGACCAGTCCCTTGCTGGGCAAGTCTGCCTTTGCATCAGGAGCCATTTCAGCACTAAAATGCGATGGCTGGGTTTCCATCAAGTCTGGGGACATGGGTCAGCCAGGACTGACTGGGGCAGAGCCAAGCAACAAGCCTCCGTAGCCCTGAAATTTGGGGATTTGCTTCAGTGCTACCATGGGAGCCAAGCTGTTGTGCAAATCTCATTTCCCTCCCTTCAGCAAAGAAGGGTCCTGGTGCAGAGCGCAGAGGGAGAAAGAAACGGGAGGGTTGAAACAACAGGGGTTAAGTTGAGGTTTAGCCCCAGAAGGAAAAGAGAGGAAGGGGGGTGTAAGCTTGCAAGCGCATGAAGGAGGAAGGGCATCATCCTCGAGCACCACGTGCTGTCCCCAGTCCATCCTGGAAGAGACGCTTCTTCGGCTCCTTCCTCCCAGGACATGTTTTGCTCTAGCTGTGCTATGCCAGAGGGATTTTCCTACTCGTGGGCCCCTGGTGCCGAGGCGATGCTCTCTCCCCACCAAGGTTTTTCAGGTTGCCCTGTTTCTGCAGAGGCCTGGTAACCCCTGGGTTTTCCTTTCCGTCCCAGACCTACGGAAGAACTTTGACCAGGAGCCGCTGGGTAAGGAGGTCCCGCTGGAGCACGAGGTCCTGCTGCAGTGCCGCCCGCCCGAGGGGGTGCCGCAGGCTGAGGTGAGCAGCTCAGCAGCCCAAAGAACTACCTGGTGGGGTGTCCCCTCCTGTCCCAGGGAGAGATGGGGCATGTGCTTGCAGATGGCTTGCAGCTGTGATGGATGGCCTTGTGCCGAGAGCGTCAGCTTTCATTATTCATCAGAATTGTTTATTTTGGGTAATGGATCTGTTATTCTGACATCTAATAACACGTGTAACCTCAGCACCTGCTCAACCCACCACTCCCACACTTCCTGATGTGCCATTAACCCATTAGAGGGAAGTTCTAACAAGGACCCAATCACTTGTGTGAACGGGAGCAGTCACAAGTGAGAACCAAGCATGGGGTTAGTCAATACAGATGGGTTTCCCTAGCACGGTAGCAGTGCTTTCCTTGCCCACAGCTCCGTCAGCCCCTGGGAGTTGTGCACTAGTGGTAGCATGTCCCATCCTTGACCAAAACAGCAGTAATGTGTCCCGTTCAGGCCTGGTTTGGCCCAGCTTTTGAGGAGAAATAAATACAGTCAGAGGCAAGGTTGGCCAGTCAGTGGTTGTGGTGCTGAGGACATCGGTGGTCTCTGTGAAGGAGGTGGGGAGGGCTTTGGGGCAGGTCGTAGGCTGGTCCAAGGGCTTTTTCCCTCTGTCAGAGCTGGTGAATTTGGCCCCTCCAACCTGATGTTTTTCCTTGCTCGTGCCCACACCCACTCTCGATGACAGTATCTACTCACGCCCCACCCAAATAGCCTAGTTAAGCACTTGTGTCCTAGCTTATCTTTGGGGCACTTGATGACCCTCATGATGTGGAGCACGTGGGATGGGCATTTCCACTGAAACCCATGGCGAGCTTTTCCTGGCTGAGTGTTCGGTTCTCGTTCAGCTTAGTCACCGTCCTTACCCTTCCCTTCCTCTTCATTGCCAGGTGGAGTGGCTGAGGAACGAGGATGTCATCGATCCCACCCAGGACACCAACTTCCTCATCACCATCGATCACAACCTCATCATCAAGCAGGCCCGGCTCTTGGACACTGCTAATTACACCTGCATGGCCAAGAACATCGTGGCCAAGCGCCGGAGCACCACAGCTGCCGTCATCGTCTACGGTACCAGCCCTTGCTCTTGGGGAGGGGACTTTTGCTGCCGGCCATGTCTCCAAGCCAAGGGGGTGTACAGGCACTTTCTGGGAGTGGTAGGAGTGAATCCCACCATTGCATTCAGTTGGGTAATAGCCAATGTTTGCAAAACAGGAACTTCTACTAGCTTGCACAGGCTATTAGGTGTAGGTGTTGGTAAGCCTCCTCGGCTGGGTATGAAGCTGGGTGGAGGTTGGACGCACATGGATTGCTTTGACTCTCAAAGCAGCTGAAAAGCTGCATTTGGCTGAACTTTGCTATGAAACCAAAGATCTACTGTGGCCAGGTGTGAAAGTATTTGCAAAGTAGAAAAAGGACGAAAGCAAGCTTGAGCATCTTGTGCATGGGATGTGCGACACGAGGAGTAGTCTTAATGATTTTGCTTTTTGTGAGGGTGAGCTGTTCCAGGGTGTTACAGAAGATGTAAGGCCAGAGGACCTGGTGAACCTTAGGCTTAGCTCCAGTCTCTGCTGCGATAGGCTCCACGGATGTGTTAACACTGTCCATCTCCTCTTGCAGTGAACGGTGGCTGGTCCACCTGGTCCGAGTGGTCTCCTTGCAACAACCGCTGCGGCCGGGGCTGGCAGAAGCGCACCCGGACGTGCACCAACCCCGCACCGCTGAACGGCGGCTCCTTCTGTGATGGGCAGCCTTTCCAGAAAATCACCTGCACCACCCTCTGCCCAGGTAAGGCAGGTGCAGAGATCTTCCTCCTTCCTCCATGATCCAACTGTGCTCCTGGTGCTCCCCAAGGAGACAGAGGTTCAGGAGACCAGTCAGTCTGAAGCATCTTTCAGTCTGCCAAGAGCTGAAAGAGCTGGAGATGTCTGCAGAGACACAGCAGGGCTGGGTTTACTGGGATAACGCTCCTCAGAGGTCTCTGGAAGCCCTGAGATGAGCATGGGCACCTTTCTGCTGCCGGAGGCATCCTGGCACTGGGGATGGAGCCCCGAGGCTGTGCTGAGGGGTGTACCAACATGTCTGTGTTTGGTGGCCCGCAGTGGACGGCGCGTGGACGGAGTGGAGCAAGTGGTCGGCGTGCAGCACCGAGTGCACCCACTGGCGCAGCCGCGAGTGCGCCGCCCCGGCCCCCCGCAACGGCGGCAAGGACTGCAGCGGAGTGCTGCTCGACTCCAAAAACTGCACCGACGGGCTCTGCCTGCAGAGTGAGTATGCGGGCAGGCGGGCAGGGCAGGGCCCCGTGCCGTGGAGGATTCCAGCAGCCATGGTGCCCTGCGCTTGGCCGCGCTGTTGTTGGCTGCGCCTCCGCGTTGACGGGGCCGGCAGCGGCGCTGCTGTCACCTGATGTTTAAATTGTGCCTTCAGCAAGGTTTTTCTATCCAGACTCGCCCTTTCCAAAGCTAGTTCTCACCTGGCAGAAGGAAAGGCTTGAGGAGTTTTGGATCTAAATGTCCTACTAACCCTTCTGAAGCAGCACTAGGTTTGGGGTCTCTGCTGAAGTAAGGCTGGTTGTGGTTAGTGGGGGCAAGCCAGGGGTGGTTTCTCAGCCCCCACCATGAAATCATCTGATCTGGATCGTTGCTCGGTAGGAGCCCTGGAGCAGCAGCTAGGGAAAAAAAAGCAGTAATAATTAGAGTGGTGCTGCTAACACAGTGAGTGGGCACAGTGATGGCTGGTGCTGCCACCTGCTGCCGTGTGACACCACTGTCCCCTTTAACTCTGCCGCAGCCAGAAACGCAGAGTCCTGTTACCTGGGGACATGTGCCCCGAGGGCTGGCCAGGCCTAGGGACACCCTCAGCACCGTGCTTCTACGTGGCTTTCTGCATGCCCCGGGGAGCGATGCTGCTTTCCCATCCCTCCCCACCACGCTGTGGCTCCTCGTGCCCCTCGGCTGGCTTCCCCCCTACCCCCCCCC